AAGACGAATTTTTGTACATTTTGGTCACTCGTTATGGTCCGCGAACCAGTTGCTAGCGCAAGCGGTTAACTTCTTGCGCTAGAATAACGTATCACGCACGTCGACAATATTTGGCTCAAAATTGCAATATTTTTCTCAGTTTGAACATTTAAAATTTTACATTTAAAACAAATAATAAATTTATTACTTTACAATAATTTCTATCCAGTGATATACCAAATGAATTAAAAAAAAAGACGAATTATTTTGTACGGTTCGGTCGCTCGTTATGGTCCGCAATCAGTTTGCCAGCGCAAGTGGTTAATCAGGCTGGAGCTACTGAAATTTCATTGGACAGCGCAGTGTAATCGCATGCGGTAACTAACGTATGAGGGTATGGCCGCTTCCAGCGAAAGCTGTACATCAAAAAGACGTATCGGATCGAATATTGAACCCGGGGTTGTGCTGTGTTTTCGTTTGAAGGCTGGCTGGCCACACGTCTACGTCCGACTTCAATTTCGGAACGCGATCTCGTAAATTTATTACGGTGTACACACGCGCGCGCGCGCGTTGCTATTTATAGATCGGTTATATTGCAGCGTGTGTGTAGTTTCGTTTGCTAAAAATCGGATATAAAATAACGAAAGGAACGCGTGGAAACGCGATGAAAATATTAGTGGAGTAAAGTGACGAAGATCGCGAAAAAGATACGCGTTTTTTGTTAATTTTCTGATTTGAGGAAAAGCAAAACTGAATGGGAAGACAATTGTATTGAAGTTTAAAGAGTCATCTCTCTGTAAAAAGAAAAAAAAAATATAAAAAATTCAATTTATTATGCTCTTTCCTTGTGGTCTTCAAAATTGAAGGTGCAAAAAGAAACAGAAATGGAAAACACGATTAAAAAAATAGTAGAGTAGAGTAACGAAGATCGATATAAATTATCGTCAATTACGCGATTTTTTTTTTTTTTTTGTTTTCTGAGAATTGTTGTTTTCATTAATTTGTTAATTTTTTGAGGAAAAGAGCGCGTTTGACTATGGAACTGAATCGAAAGGCAATTACGTTGAGTCTAGCCAGTCATCTTTTTATAAAAACTACAGAGAATTCGATTTATCTCGTTCGTCAAAGTGAAGATGCAAAGAAAGTAGTTTACCATAGCGTATTACGGAATGGCTCACAATGAAATATGCGTGTACTTCATCCACGTGACGTTACGGATCCATCACGTTCGTTTTATTTCCGTTCTCTGTCGCGTAATGTTTTTCACTTAGGGACGTAACCAGCCCCTCTAGATGAAATTACGTTGAATTCCGCGTATTAGGGATATGAAATCCACACGGAACTCACATGGGACTCGAATGACGCGCATTCTCGTTCTGCAGTCCGGCACAAAAATGAGGAAGGGCCGTTTTATTAGGTTAATAAAACTGGAACAGCCCTGTTGGGCAACGATACCGCGATAAAAGAAACTTTAATTTCGGGAAATTGTTTTACGCGAGGAAATATCGTGCAAAAATGTGAGTTTCTTTTTTTCTTGCTTTATTTCCCAATTCGCGTTTTTAATTAAAAATATTTAATCTGGATCGTATAAAATTTCAAACAAACAAAAACTTGCAAAATTTTATAAAACAATATGACTCGCATATTGGTATACTGTGAAATACTATTAATTATCAATTAGTCTATCGTCATTGCAAGTTGTCGATTTACGTAGATTTTGGCAGTAACTGCAGCACTTTCAGTTATCGCGCTCAATAATCATCGGGAAGCTAGCTCCCCTAAATGTAGGTCGCAAATTAATTGGAATTCAGATGGATGAATATCTCACCGAGAGGTATAATACTGATTTCAACACGAATGTTTAAATCTCTTAAATTTAAACAAAATGCAGTCGATCCTTGAATATGGCTGTGAAATAATTTATTATATGGCTGTGAAATATTTTTTATAATTATATCTTGCCGTTGGCAATATTTTTAAATAATGCTACGTGATAGGAACCTGTGCGAGACCTAAAACGATCATCAAGTAACATTTATTTCACTCGTAGATACTATATATTTTTATATTTTATATTGTTTACTCTATATTATATATATTAAATATAATTTATTATTTTTCAAAATAACAATCCAAGATCTGAAAGTGGAAGAGTGGATGACCGAAAACGAAATGAACGAATGTCAAACAAAATTTCAGTATCTCTCGAATCTGCTCTGAAATAGTTCTAATATTCGAATCATTAACTCGAGTAACATTATATATTTTACTTATATATATTTTATATATATTTTATTCTATATTATATATAAATTATTTTTCAAAATAACAGTCCAAGATCTGAAAGTGGAAGATTGGACGACCAAAAAANCTACTACTACTACTACTACTACTACTACTACTACTACTACTACTACTACTACTACTACTACTACTACTACTACTACTACTATTAGTACTACTACTACTACTACTAATACTATTAGTACTACTACTACTAATACTATTAGTACTACTACTACTACTACAACTAGTACTACTACTAATACTATTAGTACTACTAATACTAATACTATTAGTACTACTACTACTACTAATACTATTAGTACTACTAATACTACTAATACTATTAGTACTACTACTAATACTATTAGTACTACTACTGCTACTAGTATTATTAGCACTACTACTACTACTTTTTCTACTACTACTACTACTTTTACTAGTACTACTACTACTACTATCACTACTACTACTACTACTTCTTCTACTACTACTACTATTACTACTACTACTACTATTACTACAACTACTACTACTTCTACTACTACTACTACTACTTTTACTAGTATTACTATTACTACCACTACCACAACTACTATTACTTCTATTACTACTACTACTACTACTATTACCACTTGTACTACTACTACCACCATGTATATCCTGCTCCTGTTCTTCTATACTTGTATTTCTTCTTTTTCTTCTTCTTTTTATTCTTCATCACTTATTACCAACATGAACAGCTGTTCCCTCCACTGACCGTTAGCTCACTTTTACATTCTCTTCTCTCTGTCCGAATTCTCTGTCCAGTATTTTTTTTTCGCGATGTGCCTTTGTTCTGCTTTTGTACGTACTCCACGCATCTGTGACCTCTGTGGCTCTCTCCTTTTTTCTTTTTTTTTTTTTTTTTTTTTTTTTGTACTCCACTTCCGACTGAGTCCACTTTTCGATATTCAACGAGACGACGGTATAGGCTGTAGACGATTGTACGTTTGATAGGTGATTATCAATGATTGCGTTGGCAACACGTACGTACATATGTACGTGCTCGTGGTTTGTACATTCCGCGGTCGATTGAAACTACGTGTGACGTTTTTAACTGTTAAGACGAGATGATTGAAAGGATTTTTAATCGAATAGATATCTAACAATATTTTTTTTTTTTTTTTTTTTTTTTTTTTTTGAAATATATAGGCGTTATAATTTAGCTACACTACATGTGTGTTCGAGAGGAATTTTTTAAAATGAGAATCCTAAAAATA